TTTAGTTAAAGCACCCTGCCACCATTTTGAAGCGTGGGGACACTAATACACACACACACACACTGCATCCTGTAAATTTAATTCTCTTCTGGCAGATTTCACATTGAGGAAAAGTTGATAGCTTTGCAGAGTAAAGGTCTCTGTTCAAGCACAGGACAGGTACCACTCAGGCCCCAGCCCAGCAGGCTTCCTTCATCCTATTTCTAATCTGCTGCAGACTTGAGCCCAAGAGACTCTCACTAGAAATGAGATGGGGTTACAATCTTTATTGTTTATTCATCCCTGGACCTACTGTAGGACCAGCCAAGATTGAGGCCCTGCTGTGGCAGGCACTGTGCACACACACAGCGAGAAAGAAAATCCTGGCCTCACCAGAGTTTACAAGAGAGGAAAGTGAGATACAAAGAAGGGCTCTGATGTTCCCCGGCACACAGCACGGATGAGAACAGAATACAGGTGTCTTTACGCTAAGAACAGCCTCTTTGTAGAGGCTACCAAGGAGGAGAGAGGCTGCCAGGTATGGCATGTCTGGCATGTCTGGCTCTGATAGCATCTGGTTTGTGACCTCCAGTGTGTTGCACACAGAAGTCACCAAGACACTCTCCAAGGGCATGGGGTAAAATCCCTGCTCCACTGAACTCAGTGGGAGTTTTCCCATTGGCTTTACTGGGACCTAGTTTTCATTGCTTGCAATGACCAACTCTACATCCTGTTCAGTACTGGTCACCAAGCTGGCTTGGCCCCTCTGTTAACTCCTTCTTTTAATTTTCCTATCAAGATTTATTTTCCAGCTTAGATTTCACCCCACCACCCGCTGCTGATTCATTATTTACCCCCCACACTGTCATAGATTCATAGATTATAGATTTAGGGTCAGAAGGGACCTAGTAGATCTTCTAGCCCGCCCCCCCTGCCAGGGCGGGAGAACAACAAAACCCCAAAACAAGAAATGGGACTCAAATGAGTCCAGCCAGGTAGGCATCCAGCCTCTTCTTAAAGACCCCCAGGGTAGGAGCCAGCACCACTTCCCTTGGAAGTTGGTTCCAGCTCCTAGCCGCCCTAACTGTGAAGTAGTTTTTGCGGATGTCCAATCTATACCTCCTCTCCATCAACTTGTGCCCATTACTCCTTGTTATGCCAGCGGGCGCTAGGGGAAACAGCGTCTCCCCCAAACCCTTCTGGTCCCCCCTAGTGAGTCTATAGACGGTCACCAGGTCCCCCCTCAGCCTTCTCTTGTGGAGGCTGAATAGGTTCAGGTCCCGCAGTCTCTCACTGTAGGGTCTGCCCTGTTGTCCCCGGATCATGCGGGTGGCCCTCCTCTGGACCCTCTCCATGTTGTCCACATCCCTCTTGAAATGGGGCGCACAGAACTGGACACAATACTCCAGCTGTGGCCTGACCAGCGTCGCGTAGAGGGGGAGGATCACCTCCTTGGCTCTACTCGAGATGCACCTGTGGATGCACGACAAGGTCCGGTTAGCCCTGCCAACCATGACCTCGCATTGTCGGCCCATGTTCATCTTGGAGTCAATAATGACTCCAAGATCTCTTTCTGCCTCCGTGCTCTCAAGTAGGGAGTTCCCCATTGTGTAAGTGTGCTGCTGGTTCCTACTGCCCAAGTGCAGCACCCTGCACTTGTCCATATTGAAACGCATCCTGTTCCTGTTAGCCCACCCCTGTAACCTATCCAGATCCCTCTTGGCATATTGGATTAACAAGAATGCTCTTTGATGTGGTTTCTACCTCCTTCTTGCTTTACTTATGTAGCATTGTGCACCTTGTAAGTCGACCCAAAGAGATGAGTTTATAGAGGAGTCCTGAGGGCTTTGCATCTACTCCAAGTGCCATCTCCAGGGGCTTGTGGTTATTACAGGCAGTATCTCCTTGAGATGTGAACTTTGCCTTCCCTAAGGCAGCCTGTGGAACAGCCTCAATGCTTACCATAGCTCCCAGAAACTCCTCCCCCCTCCCATTCTGTCTTCCCCTGGCAGATGTGGAAGGTCGGAAAGATTTTCATACTCCCTCTGTGATCATAAATCAAGAGGGCTTAATCCTCTACATCCAGGACTTTGTGACGAGAAAATACATATTCCTTCCCAATTTCCACCGCTCCCTTCCTCCTGTCTTTCATATTCTTGGCACATCTGGTATGCATTAGGCTGCCAGCTGTTGAACTGTGCAGAGTGATTAAACCAAGCAGGAGGAACAGGGGTCAATTTTTATCTGGGCATTAATGGGTCTGCATCACAAGCCCATTTGATTAATCCACCCCAAGGAAAGGGCACTTGGAGTTGGGGCAGTGGAGTCAAGAGCAGGAACCATATTTTTCTGTAGTTTGCTCCTGTTTGCCTGTCTGGGGCAATAGAAGAACCTTGTACTAGTTCATGGATTTTTATTTTGGACTGAACCCATCAAGTTTCAGTGAGGGTCAAAAGTCTGACTTTGCAAAAGTAGCATCTTGCAGGTAGTGATTTTTGATCTTTTCTGGGCTAATTTTGAACTGGCAAAAGAATTCTTTGTCCCAGCACAGGTGCCCTGAGGGCTTCCCGGTCCCCATGTATCCCCATTCCCTCTTGGACAGCCCACTGGATTTCCAAGCTCCAGGCATATTTGGTCAGTTTTGATCCATGTAGGTGGATATGTAGGCTTCTCCATTTCCTGAGGTGCTTTCTGTAGCATCTGTAACTGCACTGTGCAAAATACTGCGCCAATAATTGCATTTGGTCAACCATTTACTTCAATAGATTTCATGGGAGGATCTAGGTACCCTTCTTGGTTAGGTACCCTGGTGCTCCTGGAGACAATGGCATGTGGCATGGCACTGAAGAGTAGCGACAAAGTATAATGGGGGCACAAATGGAGTTGTACTAATAAATTCAACACTTGTAAGCAGCATGGGGTGTCTTACATAGAAATATCACTTCAGAAAGCAGGGGATTAATACTCTTTGAGTAGGCATGACTTCACATGGAATATTATCTTCCATGCATTTTAGCAAAAAAGATATTGATATCTCTGAGTAGAACCAAAGGAAAATGACTAAGGGACTGGAGAGACTTGCAAGAGCTCATGGCCTGATTCTGACACACTGGTCACTTGCTGAATCTGTTCACCTGAATTGGAGGGGCCCTGTTTGGTGCTTTTGAAAAGAAAGCCCCAAGGACTGGAATTTCCAAAGGTTCATAAAAGAAGCGATCAAATCCTTTTGGAATTATTAGTCCTCTATGAAGAAAAAGTAGCCTAAATCCATGTAGCTCAGCTAAGAGAGCATGTATGTCTCCCAGCATTGGAAGCATATAGAGACCAGAAAACAAAGGCAAGCTAAATAGGGAGCAGAACTAGAATGAGGGGGTGATCTTAAGAATGAGGGGGTGATCTTAAGAAAAGGGAACAAGCTTCCCCACGGTGGGGGCTGGCAGACAATGGAAAGAAGGGTTTCTCAAGAAAAGCAGTGGACAGTTCAATGTTTAGTCCTTTTAAACAGCAGCTTGGACTGAGCATTAGAAAACAGGCTGTATGGAGCAGCCCTGTGTTAGGGGAAGGGCATATGTCCCTGGAGGTCTTTTCCATCTCTAACATCTGTGACTTTGCACATGTGGGTCAAGTGAACACCTTCAGGAGTAAATTGGATGCTTATCTTGCTGGGATCCTATGACCCCAGCTGACTTTCTGCCCTTCAGGCGGGGGGCTGGACTCAGTGATCTTCTAGGTCCCTTCCAGCCCTAATGTCTATGAAAGCTATGAAAATGTTGTCAGTGTCTGGAGATTAAATCTATGCAAAATAATTGTCAGTGGCTTAGCAATGAAGGGGAAACTGGGGCACTGGCCCCAGTCGCTGACCCCAGTAGGGGTGCAAAAATAGCAGCAGCTATGCTGTCAGCTTGGCCACCATCACCATCAGCGCAACCACCAACACTGCCTCATGTGCCAGTGCCATCCAGGGTGCTCAAGTGTCCAGTTAGGCCTCTGGAGCTAAATGGCCTGAGGATATTCTGAACATCCCTAAACCCTTACTCTACTCCCCAAAGTTTATGATATCCCAGAGCCTATTTACACATCAGAAGGACTTTCTGAGTCGGAAGGGAACCTGGGTGATATCCAGCTAAGCGTCAGAGTCTGCCTTGCATACTGATCAGGACTGTCTCATTGTATCTCTGTGCTTCCTGGATGTATTCACCTGTGAATACATCCAGGGAGCACAGGTGAATACATCCAGGGAGCACATGGATACAATGAGACAGTCCTGATCAGCATGCGAGGCAGACTGATGCTTAGCTAGACATCACCCAGTTGAAGTCAATGGGAGCTGAAACTATGGAGAGCCTAGGGGTCTCAAGTCCAGTGCCCCCAAAACAGCTGGCATATAAAAATGTTTCTTTTCCCCTCTGTTGAATGTGTTGAGGGCATGTAGGAGGAGAATAACTTGGCCCTGGGTTATACCAGGACCATCCCTTCATTAGAATTATTTGTCTTAAGTGGAAAATCAATCAAGAGTGAGCTGATACATACATATTGGGACTGATTGCACTACCCTTTGCTTATGCCCTTTCCAGAGCTCCACCAGCCACCATGAGGGTAATAAGGAGAGCTCTGAGGGCAGCAGATCAGAGGTGAAAGGCAAGAAATCCTCAAGCCATGGCACCAGCCACAAGGGGAAGAAGACGGGAAGCGGAAAAAGCTCAACTGGCTTCAGCTCGGCCACCTCCAGCGGGACGTTCCAGCCTGCAGGTAATGGATGGATGGCAGGGAGAAGAGAAGGGAGGGGAGACCAAGGGAGGGAGGAGAAAAGTGAGAAAATTTTGCATGACACTAGCAAAAGGAGCAAGAATAGCTCCCAAGACAAAGTGCTGGGAAGTGTCTCCCATCTGACAGATAAACTGTGTGGAGAGAAGCATAAACTCATGGAGTTGTTGGCCCTCTGCAAAACTTCATTGACTTCAGTGAAGGAGTCTGACCCTATGAAGTCCCCTTTGTGGGGCTGACTGGAACCAGACCTGTCCCTCCAGTGGGGTGGGTGGAACAGATTGCAGCCATGAAGGAATTCAGACCTACTTATTAAATTCCCAAGCATTGGCTGCTGATGCTTTCTTAGTACAAATGTCCTAGCTGCTCCTGCCGTTGCAGGCACCCTTCTAAAATATATCACCTTAGAAAATAAAGGGTCTCAACTTTAGCCAGCAGCAGGGAGTCAGGATGCTGGGCTTCAATTTGCAGCTTTGCTTCTGATTCACGGCATTACTTTGGTGAAGTGGCTTTATTTCTCCCAGTTCCTTAGTTTCTCCACTCTCTGTAACACTAGTGAACCACCTCCTGGGGAGGTCAGGAAGTTTCATTACTCTTTATATAAGCCCGTTTGGTCTCACCAGGGAAAGACAAAGTCTTACTGGGATTAACTCCATGTGGGAGGGGATAAGCAGGTCCAGATGTGGGTTGGAGTCCCTCTCCTGTCCGCACTACAAGGAAAGGAGGATGCTGTATCAGAATAACGGGTGGAGGGGAAAGGATACTGCTCAGAAGCAGCATGTGCAGCACCTGCCCTCCCTTCTTTGGTCTGTGTGTCTGAGCCTTAAGCTTTTGGCAGCCCTGGGGATGGACCTGAACTAAAACCCAGCATCTGCAGTCTTCTGAGCTTCAGATTGGAGTTTTATGGGGTCTGCGTCCAACTTTAACCTAGCCAGATTCTTCCCAGGACCAGTGGGATGACCATATATTTTTCTACCCTTGCTGCGGCTGCCCTGAGGGGCTGAATTGCTGCTATGGTGAGTCCCACCACCTCTTTCCTCTCTGCTCTCCCTAGGCACTTCATGCAGCTCTTTGCAGTGCTCCCAGGACTTTGTGACATTCCCTAAGCTAGAGCAGGAGGAGGAAAAGTACCGGAAGCCTGTCTCCTCCTCCTCCTCTTCCCACTGCTCCCCACTCTATGAAGGGCAGAAGGGGGACGTCTTCGAGCAGAAGGTGATCTTCTCTGGCTTTGGCTCCATCATGCGTTTCTCCACCTCAGCTGTGAGCCAGCAGAGGGGCCGGGACACCTCCCCTGTGGACTACAAGGCCTCGAATCCAGTCAGTGGCCCCTCAGGAGGTGGCGGCAGCAGTGGCAATGGTGGCGGCAGCAGCCACAAGCGCATGCCGTCCCTCAGCATCGAGGATGGGGAGGTGCTGAAGGAGAAGAAGCACAAGGCCAGCAAGAAAAACAAGCATGGGCCTGGTCGGCCAAAAGGCGGCAAGAGCAAGGAGGTCCTGGGGGCCCAGCTGGCTGGGTCCACTGCTACCTCTGCCTCCCCCTTCTCTGGGGGCTCCCTGGTCAGCACCAGCATTGGCAACTCATCCCGCTCCTTCAGCCACACGGGGAGCCTGCCCAGTCTTAGCCTGGAGTCCCCGCTGCTGGGTTCAGGTATGTTCCCCACAGGATCCCACCTCTTGGTCTTGTCTGTCCATGGCACAAAACAAATGAGCCCCTTCCTTACCATGGCACTTGGCTAACCTGTCGCAGTTCCAGGTTTTTCTCCTTTTGGCATGCTATGCCTTGAAACTACTTTGGGTCTCTTCCCACCATTCTGGCCATCCTGTCCATGCCCTAGAATCCATTCCAAGGTCCAGGGCAGGTTTTCTGTCTTGGGAGCTGTGCTGTAAATCCATCCCAAGTGGGCATTTTACCCACTGTTTGCACAGGTGCCATAAAACTTAACCTGATCCTAGCTCACAAACAAAGGAGCAACCAGGCTGGTTCAGGAGAGGAGGGCGTGGATTTGCACAGTCAAAACCAGAGGGTGCCGAAATCTGGGCCCCATATGGGGAATGCCGAAAAATAGTTCTAATTTTATCTCACTTTTTAAAAGCAAGCCAGTTATTAATCAGTGAATACCTGTCCTGCTTATGCTCTGGGCCAGAAACTGAGCCCTGATCTGAGATGGTTTTTAATACCACTGTATCCATTTGGTTTGGGGTAGGATTTGGTTTTGCCAGTTGATAGGGTCTGGTAGTAATACAGCTGTTTTTTTCTTCGTTTTTGGGGATAATGCTGGCAGAAATACCTTCATACCAATATAACTATGTCCACAGAAAAACAAAGCTGAAAGGGACCTCAAGAGGCCGTCACATCCAACCCCGTGCCCAAAGCAGGATAATCCCCGTCTAGACTATCCCAGACAAGTGTTTGTCTGACCTGCACTTAAGAATGTCCAACGGCAGAGACTCCCCAGCCACCCTGGGGAATCTGTCCAGTGCTTAACCACCCTGATAGGGAGGAAGTTCTTCCTAATATTCAGCCTAAATCTCCCTTGTTGCAAATACAGCCCAGTACTTCCCGAGGAGTGGGTTGTGCCCCTTTAATTATGCTGGTTGAGGTCAAGAGGTTCCACTGTTTTGGGTCAGCGAGGCCCAAGTCATCCTTCCCAGCTAAACAACCCTGCCTGCCAGAGTGAAGAGCAGAGGTGCCATAGCTTGGCAGGAAAGAGTTAAGGCAAAAAGGCAGGAGGAGGAGCCTGGCGCTATACTGCTGGGGTTTGACACTGTTCTGGCAGCAGAGCTTGTCATGAGTCTATTGTGGGTTGTTTGCAGATGCTCCTATTTAGGTCAAATTAGAGGGTGGGGGTATAATTTGATTGCAAAGTGTCTGGGAGCTGTGGCCCGTTAGATCTGTGCTGGAGTTGGGGGGGTGGAGAGGTGGCTAGGAATCAGCAGCTTCCACAGGCATGCCGGCGTAACCGTGGGGCCATATTTTTCTCCTCCCTTTGGAACAACAAAGACACATTTCAAAGAGGGGAGAATGGCTGCCAGGTTCCCTTCTCCAACGTGCTTGTTCTCCCACCCTCCTCCTCCAAGAGGATGTTGGCAGGGACTGGGGAGAATCTGGGCCTTAGGCGCTGCTGCATGCCTGAGTGGCTGGGGAAATCAGACAGGGGCCTCTCCCTCCGCTGTCAGTTCCTCACCTTTCCTTCCTCTTGATCTCACAGCAGCTTGCTGCCTAGGGATCAGCTGCAGAGCAGGCTGGCTCACTTTTGAGGGCATGTGGTTGAGTGGTTAGAAATAGCAGCAGTGCATAGGACTCCGGGGTTCCCCTCCACTGATCTGTGCCTCCAGGCATAAGAAAGGAAAAGCAGCCTTGTTGTTGCAGCCCCTACATCTGTCTTGCCCAGTGTCCTGCAGTTATGGTCCAGAGTCTTTATGCTGGGCCTGTCCAGACAGATCCATCCTCTGCTGTTCTTCCTTCACCACAAGTTGCTTCTCTGCTCTGTGCCTCAGTTTCCTTGTCTGGATACATAATAGGAGTGTTGTGAGGCAGCAGAAAGCTTTGACCTCCTCAGAGAAAAGTCTCCCTCCTGTTCTGGGTTCCCAAGCCTGAAAGGGCTCCTTTGTTCATTACACGCAGGGTCCCAAAATACCAAAGCAAACCATATGTGACCATGCAGTATCAGCCAAAAGTTTTTTCCCTCCCTTCCATTTTTGGACTCATCGGCTCCTCCCGGGGAGATGTGAAATGCCTCTGATGTGATGTTCAACATTCCAGGCCTCGGCTGGGGGCACTCCGCGCCCAGCGGGATGGGCACACTTGGGTCACAGTTTTTCACGTAGCCACTCTTTTTTTCTTTTTGTTATGGTGTTTCAATTTTTGGAAAGCTGAGGTAGAGACATTTCAGGCCTGCTATTTCAGAAGAGCTGAGCTGTCCCAGATCCAGCGGAATTGGTTGAAGATGTGACTGATCACTCAGTGCCCTTTGAAAGAATCAGGGCAAGATGAGATCCTTACACTGGAGACATGCAAAGTCTGCAGATACTCAGACTTCAGGCTCCAGTGCAAAACAGAGTGTGAACCATTGGAAAAGGCTGCTTTGTGGAGTCAATTTCCCCCACTTGATCTGGAATACAAAGGGTCCTTGTCCAAGCATCAGAAAGACCATTTTTTGATTTCCAACACAGAAATCAAAGAAAATTAGGGTTGGAAGGGACCTCATGGGGTCCAACCCCCTGCTCAAAGCAGGACCATTCCCAACTACAGTAGACCCCCAATTTACATGAGTACTGCATTCCGGGGGAATTTCATGTAACTTTCCCCATAGGAAATAATAGAATAGTGTACCCCAGAAATACCTTAGTCATAGCTTTTTTTCCCCTCTTCTTGGCAGAATCGCCTTTAGGAAGCATGTCTAACATCTCATGTATGCATCTTGAGATGCTGCTACCACAATGGCAGCACAGCTCTGCTTGATTCTGCCTGCAAATCTTGTGAGGCGTTTGCATATATACGTGAGTGACGTGCATCTCAAGGGACATGTTCCAGTCCAGACCCTAATAAAAAAATTGTGTAAATGCGAGACACACACAAATTGGAATAGCGTACATCGGGGGTCTACTGTATATCATCCCAACCAAGGCTTTGTCTGGCCAGGTCTTAAAAACTTCCAAGGATAGAGATTCCACAATGGCTCTGGGTGACGTGTTCTAGTGTTTTACTGTCCTCCTAAGGAGAAAATTGTTCCTAATATCTAACGTAAACTTCCCTTGCTGCAACATGAGGCCATTGCTGCTTGTTCTGTCATTTACCAGCACAGAGAACAGTCTAGCTTCATCCTCTTTCTAACCCCTCTTCAGGTAGTTGAAGGCTGCTATTAAATCCCCCCTCAATTTTCTCTTCTCCAGACTCAATAAGTCTAGTTCCCTCAGCCTCTCCCCAGAAGTCATGTGCCCTTCACCATTTATGTTATCCTCCACTGGACTCTCCAGTTTGTCCATATCCTTTCTGTAGTGTGGGGCCCAAAACTGGATACAGTACTCCAGATGTGGCTTCATCAGTGCCGAATAGAGAAATAATTGCTTCCCTGAATCTGCTGGCAGTGCTGCTACTAATGGATCCCAGTATGGCATTGGCCTTCTTGGCAACAATGGCACACTGTAGGCTCATCCTCAGCTTACTGTCCACTGTAACCCCCAGGTCCTTTTCTTCAGAGCTGCTGCTTAGCCAGTCAGTCCTCAGCCTGTACTGGTGCATGGGATTGTTCCATCCTAACTGCAGGACTTTGCACTTGTCCTTATTGAACCTCATGAGATTTGTTTTGGCCCAATCCTTCAATTTGTCGAGGTTTCTCTGAATCCTAGCCCTACCCTCCCACATATCTACTACTTCCCACAGCTTGGTGTTATCTGCAGATTTTCTGAGGGGGCCCTCCACCCCATATTCCAGATGATTAGTGAAGGTATTGAACAAAAAACTGGCCTGAGGACCGATCCCTGAGGCACTCCACTTGATACTGGCCACCAGCTACACATTGAGCCATTGATCACTACCCCTTGAGCCTGACAATCCAGCCAGTTTTTTAGCCACCTTACAGTCCATTCATCCAACCTGGACTTCCTTAGCTTGCTGGCGATAACATTGTGGAAGACAGTATCAAAAACCTTGCTAAAATCAAGGTATATCACATCCACTGCTCCAATTGTGCTTTGACTTTCCTGGTTTCATCCCTGCATGTCCGAGCAATACTCTTATACACCTCGCTAATCATTTGTCCAAGTTTCAACTTCTTATAAGCTTCCTTTTTGTGTTTTAACTCATGGAAAAGTTTCCTGCTAAGCCAAGCTGGTCTTCTGCCATACTTTCTAGTCTTCCTGTACATCGGGATGGTTTGTTCCTGTACCTTCAGTAAGGTTTCTTTAAAATATAGCCAGCTCTGCTGGACTCCTCTCTCCCTCACGCTGACTTCCAAGGGGAGTTCCCTGCTTATGAGTTCCCGAAGTGTGACAAAGTCTCCTTTGGTGAAGCCCTTACTCTTCACGGTCCTTACTCTGCTGCTGTCCTTCCTTTCCTCAGGATCCTGAACTCAATCATCCCGTGGTCACTGCTGCCCAAGTTGCCATCCATTACTATGTTCCCCACCAATTCTTCCCTGTTTGTGAGCAGCAGGTCAAAAGGAGCGCAGCCCCTTGTGGGCCACTCCACCACTTGCACCAGGAAGTTGTCCTCAGTACTCTCCAAAACCTTCCTGGATTGCCTGCGCACTGCTGGATTGCCCTCCCAGCAGATGTCAGGGTGATTGAAGTCCCCCATGAGAACCAAGGCCTGTGATCGGGAAACTCCTGTTGACTGTTTGAAGAAAGCATTATCCACCACTTCCGCCTGGTCTGGTGGTTTAAACCAGACATCCACCTTGGTATCACCCTTGTTTTTCTCCCCTCTACCCCTAACCCAAAGACTTTCACCAGGCTTGTCTCCAGTTTCGTACTGGATCTCTGAGCAGTTATGCAGCTCTTTTACATAAAAAGCAACTCCTTCTCCTCCTCCTCTTGTCCCCACCTGTCCTTCTTAAACAGTTTGTACCCATCTATAATAAGTGGGCATCCCGGGGCTGGTCTGATCGTTGGCCCGCTCACTTGTTTCAGGGCTAACTGGCCGCCTACCTCACCTGCCATGCCTTCGATGAAAACAAAATAAAGTTGATAAAAAGGTGGGAGGCTGCCCATTTACTTGCCCTGATGCCAAAGACCTATACACAGCTCCAAACCTACCCTTATACCATGTCCCATGCCTCACAGATGGCATCCATGGCCTAACACCCAGCCTTAGCATACATAGCCTAACACCCGGCCTATAATCCAGTGTCCTCACACTAGGACTCGCACTCCAGTGCTTTACATTGGGACTCTCACTCCCATGCCCCCACAGCGGGCTCTCAATCCCTGTGCCCTCACACTGGACTCTCAATCTCATTTACTCAGGGCTTCCAGCCCCTCCCTTTCCTTGGGCTCCCTGCCTGGCTTGGGGCCCTCTTGGTCCCCTCATCTCCTGGCTGACATTGGACCACAATCCTCTTGCCCCAGGAGCTTCACACCCAGCTCCTTCATGGTCTTGGGGCCCCACCTCCCTGGAGCCTCACACCCAGCTCCTTCATACATCTCAGGACTTGCTTTGAGCCTGGGCTCTGCCTCAGGTCCCTTCACACAACCTGGGTCCTGCCTCAAGCCTCACTGTAAGCCTGGGCCCTTGCTTTGTCTTTGGGGTGTGCTCGCCTAGCCTTTCTCCTCCATGGGATAACCCACAAGGCAGCAGGGGGCTAAGGCTTTCTAGCACCCCATACTCACCCTTCACTAGGCACAGGTGTGGCATTTCCTGGAGACTGCCCCACCACCGGCAGTCCCACCACACCATCCAGCCCCAGCAGGGTATAGTTTTAGTTGATGCCTCAGGACCAGGAACCTCCTGCTATCCCCATAGTTCCTGCCCTGTACCTCCAAGATATGAGCAGCAGCTCCGGCCAGGTTTCATAGTTTCATAGTAGGTAGGGTTGGAAGGGACCTGAGCAGATCATCAAGTCCGACCCCCTGCCATGGCAGGAAAGAGTACTGGGGTCAAACGACCCAAGCAAGGTGATAGTCTAGCCTTGTCTTAAAGGCACCCAGGGTAGGAGCCAGCACTACTTTGCTTAGAAGTTGGTTCCAGATCCT